AGCGTCTCGGACGACGCGTACGTGTGCCAGAAGAAGAACCACTTCCAGGTTACTTGCCATGCGCGCCTCCAGGGCGATGCCAAATTCGTGAAGACACCGTCCGGCTTCGAGAAAATCAAATCCTTCCACTTGCATTTCTACGGCGTCAAGTTCGAGGCGCCCAACCAGACGATCCGCGTGGAGCAGAGCCAGTCGGATCGCTCCAAGAAGGCCTTCCATCCCGTTCCGTGAGTACACCTCCCTTCGAAAGCTCGCACACATATAATCCATAAAAACCATAATCCATAATCAACTCCTCCCACAGCATCGATCTCCAGAAGCACATCGTCAGCAAGATCACCGTGGGTCGTCTGCACTTCTCGGAGACGACGAACAACAACATGCGCAAGAAGGGTCGTCCCAATCCGGAGCAGCGCTTCTTCCAGCTGGTGGTGGGTCTGCATGTGCACACGATCTCCGGCAACTTCCCGGTGGTGAGTCACGGCAGCGAGAAGATCATCGTGCGAGCCTCCAATCCGGGTCAGTTCGAGTCCGACGTGGATCTGTGCTGGCAGCGAGGTCTGACCCCGGAGTCGGTCTTCCACACGGGCCGCGTGGGCATCAACACGGATCGCCCGGACGAGAGCCTGGTGGTCCACGGAAACCTCAAGGTGTCCGGCCACATTGTCCAGCCGAGCGACAGTCGCGCCAAGCAGGAGATCGGCGAGCTGGACACCTCCGTGCAGCTGCGCAACCTGCAGAAGATCCGGATAGTGCGCTACCGCTACATGCCGGAGTTCGCCGTGCACTCCGGTCTCCGGCGGGAGAGCGACACCCGGGAGATCGAGGACACTGGGGTGATTGCGCAGGAGGTGCGCGAGGTCATCCCAGACGCAGTGCAAGAGGCTGGCAGCGTGGTGCTGCCCAATGGAAACGTGATTGAGAAATTCCTGCTGGTCAATAAGGTGGAACACATGCGCAATTCCCCTAAACGCCTTACTAACATTTGAACCCTTCTCAAGGACCGCATCCTGATGGAGAACATCGGAGCCGTCAAGGAGCTGTGCAAGGTGACCTGCTCGCTGGAGACGCGCATCGAGCACCTGGAGCGTGCCAACATTGGCCAAAACAGCCATCAACTGCGTGCCAAGGATCTGCTGGAGCCGCGCTGCATCCTGCCGGAGCGAGCAGCCATGACGTCCTACGGCAGTCGGCGGGACGGCTACGAGATCTGCTCCAGCCGCTCCCTGCAGATCGTCATCTTCCTGCTGATCATCGTCATGGCAGCCTGGTAAGTTGCAGCTTGGAGCAACGCCCTGCAGGGTTAGCAAATCAAATATCCACCTTTTCCTCATCTTTCAGCCTCGCTGCGGTGTCCACCCTGTACTTTGTGGAGCACAACAAGCAGCAGCAGCCGGACGGCTTCTTTGGCGCCGGGATGTTCCGCCAGGAGGCGGGTCCAACGCACCTGAGCGACGAGGAGCGCCACTACTTCCACAACCTGCACACGCTCTTCAAGAACAAGACACACGGACCCTGGCCAATGCGACAAATGTACGCCACCAGCACCTCGCGTCCGCCCGGATCCCGGCTAGCCGAGGAGGAGGCGGAGGACCTGGCAGCGGTGCTGACCAAGCCACAGGTGTCCACTGGCCAGCAGCAGCAGAGTCTTAAACACGGGGTCATCACGACGACGGCACCGCGATTCAGCAACAAGACCATTAGCAGCAAAAAGGGCAAGTGGCCGCCCACCCAGGAGGTGCTGCGTCAGGCGGCGGGTCAGAAGCTGCACCTACCTCAGCCGGTGCATGTGGTTCCTGCTGCTCCAGCGAAGGTTCCTCCAGCTGCTCTGAACGATACAGTGGCCTCCACGGAGAAGCCACCCCAGGCCATTCCTCTGCCTCAGGACTTCGAGAATAACTCCATCGACATCGATGCCCAGCAGAAGCAGTCCCAGCTGAAGCTGCACGAGCACATCGTGGTAGTGGGCACCATCGCCAGTCCTGCCTCAGATGCCTACGATTCCAATTCCCCATCCGCCGCCGCCCATCCTATTCGCAAATTCAACCCCGGAACCGTCTACACCCACGTCTACAAGACGGTATCGCCCCCAACGGCCAATCTGGCTCTGACCACCAACAAGGTGAGCACCGAGTCCGCCCAGAGTCCACTAGCCCAAGCCCTGGACGTGCCGCCTCCGGCTCTTCCCGTGAGAAACAGCAGCGACAATCCCGATGCGCTGGACCTGCAGAACCTGAGCAACACCAACGAGTCAGTGGACAACCCCATCACACAGGTGTTCGGGTTCGAGTACCAGGAATCGGGCTTGCGGGAGTCCAATCTGGGCAGGCGGTCTGCCAGTCAGCGGAGTCTGGAATGGATCAGGCAGAAGGCCATCAAGACGGCCGTCTTCGGGCAGCCGGCGGAGTGCAATGGGGATGAGTCGGTTAGCGATAATTGTCAGGTAGGCTTTAGCAGGAATAACGCACGTCAAGTGGCTATAACATGTGATATCCTCTCCAGTCCGTTTGCTTTGAGGAACTGCCGCCGACTCAGCCTCAGCCAGACAACGTGGATGCCAATGTGAAGGAGCAGCACGTGGAGGACGATCTGCAGTCGGCGGAGGAGCAGGAACACGATACGGACATCGTAGAAACCCAGCCCGCAGCCTCTATAGGCAATGAGACCTCCGCCGTTCTGGAGGCCCAGCCGGGATTCCTGGGCAAGAGCTCACACAGCACCGACGCCCTGAACAAGATGCTTCCCCAGCAGACCGAACCGGTGGCAGCAGACCGAGCCAAGGACGATCCCGTCTACCGCCTGGTGCAGTCTGCCTCTGGACAGGATCAGGGGCCCAAACCCGACGAGTCTGTGCTGCCGCCCTTCCAGCTGGACTGCTGGAGTGTGGCCAGTTGCGTCCTGGCGGCCCAGTACAACCACACCATTGACGTGGAGCAGTTCTGTCCCACCTTGGGCAGTTACCTCAATGTCAGCTATGTGGTTCCGGTGTCGCGATATCTGCAGGCTAGTAGTCTGGAGCTCCATCTGAGGTTAGTTGATGATTCTACAATAGAAGTATCCGAAGTATCTCAAAGATACTGTTACTACTTTCCATCACAAATACTATATGTTTTCAGATACTGAATCATAATAGCTTTTGCCATTATATGGCAAAGTTCCAAGGACCTTCACAATCATATACTTTAATTACCATCTATATCCAACAGCTCCAACAAGCCGCTGCAGTGGTCCATCTGCGTCGATGAGGATCAGGCCAAGCCGAGTGCCAATGCCCAGCTAAACGAGGACGATGAGGCCGAGTCCACCAGCGGGGTGAAGATCCTCAAGCAGCAGGGCAAGAACAAACTGAGCCTGGCCCTGGATCTTCCTGCCCGTGGCTACTTCCTACGGGAGTTTATGCTCCGCGCCAGCCACGACCTGGAGCAGGTGAGTTATCCGGGCCCATTCACGCAAAATCCAGCGGCTCTAGTCTTCTTTTTGTTGCAGCAAAAACTGTGCGACGACAACGCTCACCTGGCAAACCCCATACTCCAGTACAACTTTAGGATCGTAAGAGAATGTGATTAGTATACAGCTTAATTTATGGCACGGACCCAATCTGAACTCCAAAAATATGTGCGTGTGCTGCATGTTTCGATGTTGCGGATGTGTCCTGGCACCCAACGCGGAAAAATCTTTTGAATTAGGAAAATTCAAAAATAAAATAATCAAAAACTGTTGATCAGCGAGCGGAAGTTGAAAATAAATACATTTATACGTATAGAAAACAAATCATCAATAAATGCAAAACAATTATCGACCATTTAATAAAATATGTAGAGAAATGTTTTAAGCCCGCCTTTTTAATTCCTACTAGTCCTATAAAATATTCCTAGTAATTCAAAACCTACGAAAATATAAAATACTACTATTCAATTCCTTGGCCATTTTATAATAAAACCCAGAAACGTACGTACGTCATAATAATGCACTTTACTATTAAACAAAAGGGAAACTTAACAGATAAACGAGCGGCGACCTTCTAGACGGCGAACGGCTGGTCCTTGCCATCCTCGTGGTACTTGATGTATGTTTCCCCGTGGGTGAAGTCCTTGGTTCCCTCCAGGCGACCTCGGGGCGGTGCCTTCTCGTAGTCGAAGCCCTTCTCCGACTTGCCGAACAACTGGTTGGCCATCTCGATGTCCTCGCGGTACTTGCCCACGACCACCTTCTTTCCAGTGAGTGGGTCCGTTATGTCACCCAGCGGATAGACCACTTTTTCCACGTTGTGCGTGATGAGGCGGGTGAGGCGCTCGGGGAGTTCCCGTATCAGGACCACGTCCCCGGTCTTGCACACCTTCTGCGGGTCGTGGGCGAAGTAGAACTCGTCCTTCTTGAAGTACTGCGAGTAAAGTACATGAAAATATATGAAATCTTGTTGGGCGAGATCTTATGTATGTTTTGCCCACCATATTCAGGTTCTTGTCAAGCACCATGCGGCGAATGCGGATCTTGGATGCATTCTGCTTGATGCAGGGCATGCACTGACCCATTAGTAGGAGTCCTCGCCTCGACATTACGCTGCAGGACTTTAATTTAAAAGTTTAGAAAAATAAACAACCGGTTGGAAAATACAGCTGGTAGATTAATCGCGATAGTATCGATTGCGTTTGGGACTATCAATTTTTCGATAGAAAGAAACAGCTGTTTTTTATTTAAAAATTCCCGCCACATGCAATCAGCAAGCAAGCCTGTGTTAAGAAATAGGATAGGTGTACATTTCATAAAAAAAAAGCAAATGGTAAAAGTAGAAATATAGAAGCTATAGAAGCAAGTAGAAGCTATAAACAACATATTTTCTGAACTGAATATTTAATGTTTACTTTAACATTTAAAAACTTATTTTGCTTACAAATACTATAAAATACAGAGATTTGCTCACGAGACATATCGCACGATTCCCATGTACGTATCGATATCTGCATACAATGCAGTGCTGGGCAGAGCTATCGTCGCACTTATCGATAGACCGCGCGCTCCACGTGTTTTTCTTCCATTTTCTCGCAGCGCGCAACACGTGCGGAGGTTTCTCTCCGTCTATTAGTTGATTTAGCAGAAAACGTAGATAAGATGGCCGACGTGGGTAAGTCTCACATGTGATGAATTAAAGGAGTGCCCAATTAAACGGACTATGCGCCCACAGAAGTACGCAAGGAGAAGAAAAAGAAGAAGATCAAGGAGGAGCCCTTGGACGGCGATGACATTGGCACGCTGCAGAAGCAGGGCAACTTCCAAATCAAGCCCTCTTCCAAGATCGCCGAGCTGGACACCTCGCAATGGCCGCTGCTCCTGAAGAACTTCGACAAGCTGAACATCCGTTCCAACCACTACACTCCGCTGGCCCACGGATCGTCGCCCCTGAACCGCGACATCAAGGAGTACATGAAGACGGGCTTCATCAACCTGGACAAGCCGTCTAACCCCAGCTCCCACGAGGTGGTGGCCTGGATCAAGAAGATCCTCAAGGTGGAAAAGACTGGCCACTCCGGCACGCTGGATCCCAAAGTCACGGGTAAGTAAAGCGCATGTTCACCTCCCCCCATAGAAACCTAACCTCATTGTGTGCCGCGTGTTTTTTTTTTTCTGGCAGGTTGCCTGATTGTCTGCATTGACAGGGCCACCAGGCTGGTAAAGTCCCAGCAGAGCGCCGGCAAGGAGTACGTGGCCATTTTCAAGCTGCACGGAGCCGTGGAGTCAGTGGCCAAGGTGCGTCAGGGCCTGGAGAAGCTGCGTGGTGCCCTCTTCCAACGACCTCCGCTCATCTCTGCCGTAAAGCGTCAGTTGCGCGTTCGTACTGTCTACGACAGCAAGCTGTTGGACTACGATGAAAACCGAAATATGGGTAAGTCAGAAATTTCGTTTGTCTATTTTCGCACAGAGCTGATGCGTCGCTGCTGGATTAGTTTATCCTGCAGAGGTGCAGCCCGCTCAAGATAGTGAAACACCAGTATTTGCCTGACCACGCAAATGCACAATGTAATTGTTAAAACCTCTTCTCTTTTTCTCCTCCAATTCTGCCTACTCACGTGCTCAGGTGTTTTTTGGGTTAGTTGCGAGGCCGGCTCCTACATCCGTACCATGTGCGTCCATTTGGGTCTCGTACTGGGTGTCGGTGGTCAGATGCTGGAGCTCCGTCGTGTCCGCTCTGGCATTCAGTCCGAGCGCGATGGTATGGTGACCATGCACGATGTTTTGGACGCCATGTGGCTGTACGAAAACCACAAGGACGAGTCTATGCTGCGACGTGTGATCAAGCCGCTAGAAGGTCTGCTGGTCAACCACAAGCGCATTATTATGAAAGACAGTTCGGTAAGTTTGGCACTCAGTTGCCGTTTACGAAGTACCCCATGATATTAAGCCGGCAGGTGCTTGCAATCCCCACGGGCACCTGTGACTATGATTGGGAACAACAAAGCTTCTGATGTGTGTATGTTGGGCAGCGCTCTTATACTGCGCGCTTGACAAAGAATATTCGGTCGACATTTCCTCTACCAAAAATTAACCCCTTATGGTATCAACTAACAGCCTCTTTTTTCTCCAGGTCAACGCCGTTTGCTATGGTGCCAAGATTACATTGCCCGGTGTCCTGCGCTACGAGGATGGCATTGAGATCGATCAAGAGATTGTTATTTGCACCACCAAGGGCGAGGCCATTTGCCTGGCCATCGCCCTCATGACCACAGCCACCATGGCCTCTTGTGACCATGGTGTGGTGGCCAAGATCAAGCGAGTGATCATGGAGCGCGACACATACCCGCGCAAGTGGGGATTGGGCCCAAAGGCGTCGGCCAAGAAGGCGCTCATTGCCGCCGGCAAGCTAGACAAGTTCGGACGGCCCAATGAAAACACACCGAAGGAGTGGCTGACTGGTTATGTCGATTACAATGCCAAGAAGCCAGCAGCTCAAGAAGTTTCCCCCTCGAATGGCACCAGTGAACCCAGCAAAGTAAGTTTTTGGAATTAATTTCATTCCGCTGTTCAGTTGCTAAATGAATGTGTTTCTTCAGCGCAAGTTAAGCACCTCCAGCGTTGAGGAAACTGCGGCGGCCGCGGTATCCGACGAGACTCCTTCCAAGGACAAAAAGAAGAAGAAGAAGAAGCACAAGGGCGATGAGGAGGCCCCAGAAGCTGCTGAGGAGGAGGCAGAGCCAGTAGAGAAGGAGAAGAAAAAGAAGAAGAAGAAGGACAAGGATAGGGACAGAGACGAAGCTCAGGAATAGAAATCTAAAGTTTCTGTAGGATTAGGTATTAAAGAGAACTCTACGCTTTTTTGTAGAGGCACCTACCAATTGCTAGCTGTTAGGTTTAAGGAGTGTTTTTATGTGTAGAAGTGCATACCAATTACAAATGCATTTAAGTGACATTCGCAATGCAATAAATTGTATATTTTATTGTGGAACTCTATCGCAAGTTTTTAAGGACTCAGTTTTTCTTTAGGTTTTTCAGTTAGAAAGGCAGGGCTGTGCAAACTAAAGGTGAGTTTGATATTATATATTTGAGTGCCTTCAAGTGTAGCTTTCGCTTGCGTTATCTGATGAGCAATAACTTTCGCCCCTAGCTGAAAAATGAAACTTCTCATGTTGAATGCGAGATTGGTCTTACTGAAGATAACGCAAAATGGGAGAGCTCATTTCAGTTGCTGACTTTTTATTAACTTAATTATTTCCGTTTCTTGTAGCTTGGAGTTCTACTCAAAGGACAAAGTGGAGTGACAGTGAACATATGGTTAGTCTCTATTTGAATGCCATTTTATAATGTAATAGTTCTGATGAGCATTAACTTTCGCCCCTATCTGAAATTGAAACTTCTCTTGTTGAATGCGAGATTGGTCTTACTGAAAAACTAAAAACTATAAGACCATGTGGGCTATCTTTATATAAATCCTATTTAAATTAAATTCCAATATCTATTTACAGATCAGCCGAAGAAAAACTTTAAACGTGCTTTGAATAAACATAGGAATTAAGGTAAGCAACCATTAATTTAAAATTGTTTCCCTTCTTATGATGAGCATTAACTTTCGCCCCTATCTGAAATTGAAACTTCTCATGTTGAATGCGAGATTGGTCTTACTGAAAAGAATTCCGCTTGAAAAACACGAAAATATATTTCAAAGTATTCTAACCAAATTTTTCGATTCTCTTTCCAGATTTTTTAACCAGGTGATGCGGCATATGGACTCCATTTTCGATAAAAGAGGTAAATATCGAATTAATAAATGCCACTAAAATGTTTTTAAAGTGATGAGCATTAACTTTCGCCCCTATCTGAAATTGAAACTTCTCCTGTTGAATGCGAGATTGGTCTTACTGAAATGCCGCACATTTAAAAACAAGCCGAAATCTTTTCAAACGTCTTTCTAAATAAGTGTTACTATATCTTTTCAGATGGGTTCAAGAAGAGATGTTTAAAAAAAATGTAATGCCTCAGGAATCATAAAAGGTAAATATGCCTGAAACTAAATAGTTTCTTTGCGAGAATCTTACGTTTTGTTTTAAAACCTTTCTGAATCTTAACTGATGTAAAAGAAAAGCTGAATTATGTGGCATGATTTTCACATTAACCGCAACAAAATCCTACTCCAATAGGTCCTACTGACAATTCTCGCAAAACTAATGCATATGCCCAATATAATAACAACCTCGCCTAACAATTGACTCTCCTTTACCTTTCCAGTTCGCATGGCATGTTGTTGCGAAAATAAGGTAAATAAAAAAAGCTCGTTTGAAATATTTCTAGTGAAAATGTTGAAATAAAAAAACTGATTTATGTGGCATGATTTTCACATTAACCGCAACAAATCCTACTCCAATAGGTCCTACTGAATATTTTCACAAGAAACGAAAGATGTGTTTTAACCAGACATGATTTTAAGTGTAGTGTTTCTTCTAATTGCAGTTGTGCTTTTGACGACTTTCCACTGACTTTGCCGCAATTCAATTCCGTTGCATACACTTTTTCCAGGTACAGTACTGCCCAAGACATCAGAATTAGAATCCTTAAAAATCGAATAAAAGAAAACCAAAGCACGTGAATTCTATTTAATTGGACTTGGACTAGGTCATTCGTGTTCATAACCTAAAAACAGCTGAAATCTTTGGCCAGCCTGTTTTGGGCGGGCAATCGTGGGTCAGGGGTGCAAAAAAGCGCGCAAGAAGAAGAGGAACGACCGTCGGATGGAGAATCTAACCACACCGACATGTGTATGAGAAAAATCAAGTTGCTATATCGATCTTCTTATCGTATGGGTAATGCTTGATTGTGGTCGGCTTGTTCAAATGTATAAACAAACACGTTTTTCGCGGACCCGAAAATATCAGCTTGAGTTTTTGCCTACCTAAGCAGCTCTGCGTTCCATTCCGACATCCCTTGCCGCTCTGCCTATCGGACGCCATGTTGGATTTATCGCAGTGTGTTTGTCTGTCACTATTTGTGTATGTATTCGCCTATGCTTTTTTTCCGTCGCGTTGTCAGCGAGAGCAGCAGGTTAATTGTAAAAGTAATTTCAAACTTTGTTGCCCAGTTGCGGATTACCAAGTGCCGGCGAACCAACAGATTCGAATACGTGGCGCTCAGTGCAGGTATGTGGTCCCCAAAAGCTGCTAAATTGTGATGCAGCAGGACATTTGCCGGCGTGCGAGATTTCGTGCGGAGTGTAGAGGGTGCTTTTGAGTGACGCATGCGATCGTGTGCGTTTGTATCCATTGCGCCGCCATGTTGGATTTTAACTTTGAGGTTATTGATTAGTTTTCCGCAATACCGGGAGTTGATTTTAAAATAACCGTTTGGTGTGCTGAATTAATCAAATGCACTCAATATCATGAAACCCATACCAAAGGTTTTATATTTTAGAGGATGAATAGTTGAAAATCGAATAACGATTTTAATTGAGCAACAAAGCAGGTAGAATATCGGTGGCTCTAAATAATTTGCATGGAATTCGCTTAAAGTTATTTCAGTTTCATTTGGAGTTGGTAGTTCTCAGAAGAGCCCTTAGAATTAGTGTTGCGAAAAAACAGTTTTTTCTTTTATTCTTTCTGGGCAGCATATGTAATAACTATTCGCACATATATGTATATATATGTATGTAATAACACCAGTTATTACCTATCTTCAGATAGCTAAATTGTATATTATTTTGAGTGTTGTAAAAACAGGACATTTTCCGAAGTTCTCGCCGTCTTTTTCCAACATATTCGCGTAACCCATTTATCGGTAATCGAAAGACGCACGTGCGCCACCCCCTCTCCTTAAGAATCTTGCTGAAAAAACAACAACAGCCGCTAGTCCATGCCGTTCGTTCCCGGGAAATGCCTGGAAGTAAACAGCGGCCAGAGCTCACACATGGGCTCATACACACACTCGCAAGCACGCGTGTGGCGGTGACGCTAAGTCGGAATCGGGATTATTTTGTGATCTGATCGCAGTGCCTTGTGTACTTGAGTGTGGCTGGCGAACTTCAGTGCAACTGGAAGATGAATCCGTCCTGGAACTGATTCAACTGAAGCACTGGCCACTGCTCGCAGTCAAGAAAAAGTGCCAAGAAAATCAAAGCCAGCATGTTTTGATGCTGCTCTTCGCATCGCAACGCATCGCGTTTTTGTTTGTGTGGGGGTGCGGCAAAAGGCGCTAAGCCAACAACAACAATCGTGAATACACCGTTTCTGTGATAGAAAGTCTGTTGGAAAAAGTGCGTAGTATAAATATTAAGTAATTTAGTCATTTATTTTAATGTCAAAGACAACCTGTGTGTGTATCTGATGTTTTTTTTTGGCAGTGTCTCACTATTTGGAGACAGAATTATGTAGTTCCAGCACCTAAAGTGCAAAACTCACAGTCCTTTATGAAAAAATCGATGTTTTTAATGTGAATTTGGCACAGATTTGTAGTGTTGTATTGGCGGAGATCACACTATTTTCCGGCCAGTGTTGGTAAACCCGCATTAATTAAGAGTGCAGTTAGCACTATCCATCATCCTGGATTTTGAGGTTAAAATTTAGACAACGCGCATTAATGATTTTTTCCGGTTTCCCCACAGCATGACTTACGAACTGCCCCCAATCATACTAAAAGGCAGAGAACTGATCAAATACCGGCACCTCAAGCGAAAATATCCCGTGTCCAAGCGCTTCCTGCAGAGCAACTGGTGGAATGTCGAGAGATTCATAGTGTACGCCCTCAGTCCCCGCTGTGTCATCAGAAACTATGCCTGGCGCCGGCGGCGCACCCACCGCGTACGCATCATCCGGCGAGTCCGCATCCTGCTCTTCGATCCGCGGCTCAAGCGGATGATCAAGCGCCGCCTGCAGAACGTGCGCCAGTGGTCCAGCAGCCTAGTAAGTTACTACAAAAAGATGGGCAGAATCGTAGAGCATGAAGAGACGGAGGTGTACCGCGTGGCAGAACCTCTGGGAGCCGAGGAGCTCTCCAAGCAGATGAAGCAGCAACTGGAGCTGCTGAAAACGGGCAAGAGAAGTCTGTCGCTCATCGAAGAAACAACTGCCACTGCGGAGGTTCCACATAAGAAGCTTAAGCAGATGCCTGATATCACCGAGGAAGCCAGGGTCATTAATGATAGCGATGATCGCCTGGATACAGCGCCATCCAAGGAGGCTGCCGAAAGGACACCCACAAAGTCGCCCACGCAAGTCGGCTCCTCAGAGGATATCCCAACCCCGGCTACGCCCAGCAAGGAGCAAAGTGGCCAGACCAGCACTTGCTCCAGTGCCGAGAAGACAGACAAAGCTGAAAAGGCCGGCGGCGGCAGTAAGTTTCTGGATATGCTAATCAGTAAGGTGCGCGTTAAGAACTTTGCGCGGGTGGAAAACATGCCCACTGAACCCAGTGCGGTAACATTGTGCACATCCGAGGACGAGGGTAGCGAAGACTTCGTGGGCTTCGACGAGAGCGTTCATCAGCCGGGCATGCTGCTCACGCCGCTGGTGCCGAATAAATGCAAGACCACGGAGGGAAACTCCGCCTTCGTTAGCGAATCCCTCGATGCATACATGCGGGAGCACCATATCAATGACTCGGATTCGCAGCAAGACGATAAGGACAAGTTGCTCGAGCCCATGGGGCACGATGGTCAGGTTACTTCGCACAGCATGCCGCCACCGATGGACATGCCAGCCGTTCCGGAGGCACTGCAGCGTCTGAGAACGGTGGCGGAGAGGCGGCAGTACTTGCAGCGTTGCAAGAACCAGAAGATGGGAATCATCAACAACGAAGCCAATGTATACAGAGAGCTGCAGCGGAAGCAGCGCCAGCGAAAGGTGAAAATCGGGGCCATGCAAGCGCTTCAGGCTTCCGACTCCCAAATGCCGTTTACCCGCCAGGGTTGGCAGGCGGCCAGTTATGTGGCCACCGAGCACTCCAACTACTACTATCAGGTGGGTTTTTGAAGGACACTTATATTTGGACTTTTATCAATCAACTCCTTATTTTCCAGGTAATACAAGTGGACGGGGAGATGGTGCGTCTGCCGGGCGCCCAGGGCAACAATTTGAAGCGCGAGAAATCTCCGTACACTAGCAGACTCAGTCTCAAGGAAGTGGAGGAACTGAAGTGTAGCAGCCAGTGCTTGGATGCCCGTATTCGGCAGGAACTAAAAGTGATTCCCACAAGAGTGAGCCCTCCAAGGAACCCCAAGATCCTCAACCAGTATCCGCTGCCCGCCATCTTCCGCCCTTGCCCGTTGTCCAAGAAACCGCTACAGAGGCCGCTGGACGATGACACGGCCGCGTTGCTTCTCGCAGGTGGCAGCATGGCCGTGGTAAGCATGCCAAATGTGCAGCTTGATGTGATGCCGCAGCTGGGCCGACCACTGGACGAAATCGCTAAGCGGTACCTGCAGCACATACTGCCCCACCACGACATAACGCGGGAGTGGGCCGAGTTTAGTGTATCTACGCTGCAGGCGCCGCCCGCCAACATGAAGGATGCGGAGGAGCAGGCTGCCCAAACACCAGCCGGTCGTCGAAAGAGCTTCACCTTCGTTATTCCCTATCTCAATGATCGGAATCACATACTCGTACGCCGCGTAGTGGACCGATCCGAGCACCTAGACAAGAGCTTTAAAGAGGAGCCCAATAAGCTACAAGAGTTCGCTTTTCGAGAAATGCTTCCAGTCATGCCGGATGCCGAGCTTCTGGCTTGCGCAGACATGATCAACGATATGATCAACACGGTGGCCATCAGCTGCAGCGAGAACAGTTTCATAAGCGATGACCCGGATGTTTTAGGTGATAGCTCGTTACCCAGGTCCTCCGATCTGAGTCCCGCGAAGGAGGAGACTAGCAAGGACACGGATAAGTCGGGCGCCAAGCCAAAGCGACTGCCCAACAAGCAAAAGCGCCTGGCCAACGAACTGAGGCGATTAAATGCCACCATCATAGACGCTGCTGCTAGAAAAGCAGATGGTAAATTGTCTTATTACTACCTGTTATAGATAGTAAATCAAGATTATTTCCTTCTCCAGCCAACAAACCTTGCAGTAAGGATCACTGTCAGCTGGGCTGCCTATGCGCCAGCTTGGCAGGTACAGAGCTACCTGTGCGGGATCACTGCGGCAGGGCAGAGTGTGTTCTGGATTGCCGTTGTCTGAGTGCAGAGCAGGGCCGTGTCATGCGCGTGGAAGCTGCAGATGTAATACTCAATATATTACCATTTTATGTGACTATACAGTAACAGATCGTATTTTTACACAGGGGCGCGGACTTTCCAACGAAGATGCTTTCAACTTGCGCCGCAAGGCCACGGCACGACTGGCTAAGATGGAGAAGGACTTTACCTCTACGCTGGTGCTCACCGACAACGAGACGCTGCTGATCAATGAGTCGCAGGGCGACAAGAAGCGACGCTGCACAAAGGCGCCGAAGCGGTATGAGGACTTCGATGACACCATGTTCGACGAGGAGGAAAAGGATGTGGTATCGCCGACAACCAAGAAGCAGAAGAAGATCGCCGCTGCTGCTGCGGCCGCCGCAGCGGCTGCAGCTACTGCAGCTGCAGCTGCCGCTGCCAGTGCAAAGATAACGGCTCCTGTTCTAAGCCAGCCGTGCTTTGTGAAGGACACGGACCTGGCCAAGCTGAGGCATTGCTTTGTGGGACTACGACGGTTGTCGAATGTAGAGAACTTGGCTACGTTCTGCATGACCCACCAGCTATATAAGTGCTTCTGTGGCGGTGAATCTCCAGATGGCAAGCCTGTGGTTATCGAGAAGGAACAGTGGAACGCACCAGTGACCCACTTTAATCCAGATCTGGCCGTCAGGGCGCACTACAGCTTCGAGCGTCCGCCGGAGGAGACTTCGACGAAGAAGAAAGGAAAGGAAAGGAAGCCCAAACCCAAGCTGGAGCCTAAGACGATCGAAGAGGATCCGAATCCACAGACTCAGGCAGTGGAGAGCTTTCCGGACAAGACTGAACCCAAACAAGAGCCGAAACCAGCTGATTCCCTGTTCAACGATGAGTTTCCTATCCAAAGGTCAATTGAGTTGGATACCATTTTCAACTACTTCCGTTCGCGTCCATATCTCTGCCGGCGAGCCATTTCCATTCCCAAGAAGTCTTACCAGCGCTTAAACCAAAGACGGGCGGAACGTGTGCGGAACCAAATAGCTCGCCAGGAGACTTCAGAGACGGATGAGCTGCTTAGGCTGCGCATTCAGAGTGCCGTCATTTACTATCGCAAGGAAATCGATCGGCAACGAAAGCGAGAGCTGCTGACCAAGAAGACTGTGAAAACTCCCGGCATAGAAGTGCGGAATGATTCCGATGTCAGCGATGCTAGCGTGTGCCAGATGAAGAGTGAAACCCCCACCAAGGGTCCGACTCCTGTCAAGCGCATTAAACTGCAAATGGATGAGCCTCCTGCACAAGAGAAGGCGGTTCATAAGTTGGACATTCAAGTGCCCCGCATCGCCGCGTGCTATTCCCTAAATGCCGCTTCGGTGGACGTTCTTGCTTCTGAAATGGCGAACGAAGCAGCTGCAGCTGCTGCAGCCACGGGATCGGCACATGGTTCCACGGACACGGATTCCCCCAATTTCCGGTCCTTCTACAACGAGGTGGTCAAGAACATGAATACCTTGGTTAGCAAAAAGATGCAGGATATTGACCTGGCTCTGCAGCGTGAGAGCAAAATAATCCCGTCGCCCAACGAGGAGATTCTTTGCATTATCAAGTGGACGAATTTTCTTGCTGCCTTTGAATCCGGGTTCGTATTTATTTGGGACGTTCAAATGAAGACTCACAGCTTTCTGGCGGCTACCACGACCAATCTGATGCCCTCTGTGTGCGGTGCAATCGGAGTTGTTAACACCAAGTTTGCACCGGATCCCCAGGCACTGCCCTTGATGGCTCGAATGCTGATGAATTCCACGCGGAACGAAAACACCAACCGTCTTGCAGTTGTGATGCAGGGCAGGCAGAGTTTCTGGCTAGTCAAGGGTTTTCTGCGACACATGGAAGGCAATGCCTGCACAAAGCCCACGCCGATGTCTCATCCGCTGCTCACCAAGAAGATCAATGTGCTGTGCTCGCTGCTGGTGAAGCAGCGCATCCGGGAACACCAGAAGAAGCTGCAGAGCGGGGGCAGCTTAGCCTCTGAAGCCTTGAACAGTCCGTCAGCAGATGTTCCGCCTTCAGCCTCGCTACTAATGAAGCACCGCTCACGGGACCTTAAGCGAAAGTCTCAGGGCGAAGACACGTCATCCAGTGTGCCTTCAATGGCAAAGTGTTCCAAACCAGCTGCAGCAGGTGGTCCTGAAACTGCGACGCTGTCTCCAGCAGCATCTACTGCGTCAGCTGGAGCTTTAAGCTCTGTGGCTTCTACTCCTTCTGTCGGACCTACCAAGACTAGCTCAGGCTCTACTAAAAGCAAAAACAGCGCCACTGGAATCCGGAGTAATATCGAGTTTAGAAAGGTTAACCACAACGATGTCGATGAACTGCAAATCCCCGAGCTGCATAAGACAGACCACCGTTGGGTGGTGCTCGACATCTTTGATGACTTTTCCCACATCTTCGTGCCCTCTTTTAGTGATATGATCTCGCTGACCAGGATTCACAGCGTGATGCAGGTGGCCGAGGAGAGGCAGAAGGTGGTGAAGCTTCAGTTCTTTCCCAATGCGCCGTACGATGCCTTCGTGACGCCGTCGTCCAAGAAGAAGATCTACTTTGGACCGCTGAGCCTAGACATGCCGCCGCCGGTTCTGGTGCTACTACAGAGTGTCGATCGGAAGATGATGTTGCGCGAGGTTTACCAGCGCGAGCACTCCATTCCTGTTCAACGCCATCGCCGAAGCATGGCGCTCTGGGTGCTGCACATAAATGGGCAAGTGCACTTTGAGATCGACACGGAGTCGACGGCAAGGCTGGCAGCGCAACAGAAAAATTCCATTGTTACTTCTGGTCTAAATGTGGTGAAAATTCCGTCGCAGCTTTCCGTGGAAATAGAGAAAAGTGAAGAAGACGTGCCACCGGTGGTGATCATCGATAGTGATGAGGAAGATGATGACGTGGAGAGACAATTGGTTATCGATGAGCAGGATGATCAGCAGGCAGTGAAGGACATTAAGCAGGAAGCGGACCGCACATGCTTCACTATACAAACATTGCCTTCTAGTGACGCACTGCAAATAACGCTCTCAGATTCAGTAGAACTATCCCCACGACCTGCCAAAGATGTGACCGCATGCCACTTGAGTGGTGCCTTCATGCCGTTCATTGCAAACGTGCCCGCAAAGATTGGGGACACGGCTCCCGCCACTCAATACCTGACACCCCAGGTCCAGGTAACCAAGTCGCAAAGTGATCCCGAAACAGTCACGACCGGTTCCTCTTCACACTTGCAAACAGCTAAAGTAGCATACTCCAAGATCAACGAGTCACTCCAGGAGTTACTGAGCAGTGGAAACACTTTAACTCCTGGAGGCATCACGATTACCAAGTTGGAAAGTCCCGACGACAAGACTTTGCAACGCGAATCCGTCCTGAGTGGCAGCAACAACAAGCGCATCGCCATTACCGGGATTCATAAACAAGTAACCAAGGCGGGACCATCAACGGCCACAGTTCCGGTGGCCCGAGCGCCGGTAATCAGGCCACAATCGACCACTGTTTCCAAAGGATTACCCCCTATACGACCCGGTGCAACAGGACCGAACACTTTGGTCAGGCTTTATCCGAAACCAGCCACGGCTGCCGGTCGCAAATCCCTGCCGGTGAATGCCAAACCACCAGTAGCGACACCACGCCCTTCCTTGCCAGCCAAGACGTCTGAAGTTTCAACCCCCAAATTGCTTACGTTGGCAGAGCCATCCGCTCGTGTGTTGCTGCCAACAAAGCCTCCAGCTGCTGGGGACCACCTGCCACCACGACAATCTCTGCCAGCACATCCTCCTGCAGCTGCCTGTCCGGATTCGGTTAAAGCTTCTGGCCAAAGTCTCCTCAACGTATCCACAGCTCAGCTGCCAAAAGAAGAGATCTGCTACGGCATCTTGGCCGCCAAGGGCTTGCCGCGCTTCCGCGCCAAGGTGCAGGGCTCCGACTTCGTGGTCAAGATACCTGAGCATGGCTTACTTCGCTTCAAAACATTCGGGTTAGTCGCTAGTTTTCTCAGTCGGTGAGTGTGCGCATAATCCTTCCAAAAAAGAAAAGGTTATTTATGTATCCATCAATATGCTTGCAGCCATGTGGCGAAGGATCCTAAACTCAAGGAGTTTTTGCCGGCCCAGTGGAAGTTCCATGCCTTGGATCAGGTCAATAAACAGGTGCCATCAAGGAATCAGCAGTCACCTGCTGCCATCGTAATCGAGGATTGAGCGGTTATTTCATCACATTTTTCGGATACGGATACATATTAAATATGTAAACTGTTTAGTTATAGAATACTTTGTTATTATTATTATCATTATCATAAGCAATTAGTTACTTTAATGATGTATAGAATTGTTCAGTTGGAAAGGCCACTTTCTGTTCCATTATCACGCCGCATGAGTTTTAATCTTTGTAAACTGAAATTGAAAATATTAAATTTAAGTACATGAAAAGAACTTTTACGCTTATCACTGGAAAAACAAAATGTCAACAATGCTCACTGGTCGAAATCAAGAGAGCACATTTCGAATTTGGCGCTCTGGCCAGCTGATTGTCCGTTCCAAATCCCAAGCGTTTCGCATGCGAACAGCTGCTTGGCATGTGAACCGGGAAGTAAGCAAACGTCGTTAAAACTAAATCCATTGTTTACGCAGTGCTTTACCCACTTATGGGTATCACCTATATAAATAAAAGCTTGTCACCACGGAGCTTCGATAGCCAGCTGATAACTGCGAACGCTGCACCAAAGTGGAAAGTGGGCGAAACACACTTCCAAGGTCAGCCCTACATATAGAGCTACCAACACAGGCGATCGCCAATATAAGCACAACTACATCGATTGCCTAAAGATTTCGAAGATATCGAATGGTGAATGGTCAGCGCACTTCGGCAATCGATTTGTGCAGAATGCAGATACTCTGCCACCGTTGTTAGGAAAAGACCTCTGAGCTGCTAAACGAGAAGAGAAGACTGCTCAAGAGATGGGCTGTGACGAGAAGCGAGAGCCTGCCGGCGGCAGACTTCGGGTGCAGGACATTCCGGCCCTCATTCAGGACCATTGCCGCATGCGGAACCCGGCGAAGGTGGAGCGCATCATCAACGAGCTGGTCTTCGGCGGACCAGAGCGCATGCAGATCGTATCCGACTTCGACTACACCATCACAAAGCAGCGCATGGAGGACGGTGGAGCTGTGCCCTCCAGTTTCGAGATCTTCAACTCCTGTCAGTCGCTGCCGAAGAACTTCAAGGCGGAGACGGACAAGCTGTACCACAAGTACCGGCCCATCGAGATCGATCCCCACATGCCCATCGCCGTGAAGGTGAAGTACATGATCGAGTGGTGGACCAAGTCTGGCGAGCTCGCCAGCGGCTTCCCTTTCGACCAGTCGGAAATAGATCAGATAGCCAGCAAGTATAAGCATGCGCTACGTGACGGAACCCACGAGTTCTTTGCGGACCTCCAGCGCTTGAACATCCCCACGCTGGTCTTCTCCGCCGGCCTGGGCAACTCGGTGGTCTCTGTGCTCCGCCAGGCCAACGTTTTGCATCCGAATGTAAAGGTAGTCTCCAACTTCCTTCAGTTTAGGGATGGCGTTCTTGATGGCTTTCAGCAGCCGATGATTCACACCTTCAACAAGAACGAAACCGTGCTGAATGAGTCCAGCGAGTATTACGACCTGGTGCACACCAGGGACCACATCATAGTCATGGGGGACTCCATTGGGGATGCGGACATGGCCTCCGGGGTGCCTGCCTCCTCGCACATCATGAAAATCGGCTTCCTCTTCCACCACGTCGAAGCCAACATGGAAAAGTACATGGACACCTTCGACATAGTGCTCGTCGATGACCAGACCATGGACGTGCCCAGAACCCTGCTCGCCCTCATCGAGAAGCAGCACAAGCTGAACATGGAGGCCGCCAAGCAGAGTTCGCTGTAATTTCCGCAGGCAGTTCCTGAATTTGGTCTGAAATGTACTCTTTCATTAGTTGCTAACCGAAACACAACAGAAGCTACTAATTAGTTGGTTTAGGCTTAAACATTTTACTCATCTTAACGAATGATTGTATACATCCACGGACTCAAATCATATTAAAGACAACGTTGTGCATTGCAAAGGAAATTGGTGCTTGGATTAGTCGATAGTTTTCATGGCATTTATTAGCGTAATTAAGTGATAGCACACATGTGCTATGTACATTGTACATTGTGAAGATACAGCAAATGGATTCCTTATTGTTAATTCATTAAACCACCACTTTGGCGGGTCTGGTCAAGCGAACATTTGAAATCGGATTTCAATGGCATGCAATATTTCCGAGATCGGCGGATTCTATTGTCAACGTAGGTGAACGTAAAATTGAAACGTTCAATTTTGAGAACTACTGAGTTTTGAAATTATTAAAAGAATAAATACTGTTAGTTTTGGTTACTGATTTTCACACTTCGAAACGGGAAACTGGAACGCGCCGTCGACTAGGGATGGACAACCTGCCAGTCATTTCAGGCCAGTGCTGGGCCAGCTGTCGATAACTTGCTATCGAAATATACAAGAGAAATATACAAATCATTGGCAAATTGGGATTTTACGCATTTTGAATTTGATTGTATCGACAGGAAACCCGTGTAAAACAGTTGATTTCCAATCGGGTAGCAAGTGCAGCACAGCCACCGCGGAATCTCAGCATTCCGACCGCCGCCGCAGTCAGGTGAAGAATGCGGAGGAGCGTCGACTGAGCAAGTATAACCAAAAGGCTGGTGGATTCAATCCGATCCAGGCACAAAAGCAAACCAAAAGCGCAGCGTCATGTTCGGATTCGACGGCGAGTACCGCCGCAGGCCGGTGCAAAGTCTGGGCGGAGCTTCGCACACCTGCGACCGGGACACTGTGATCCGGAAGGCGGCCCTGGAGCGCCAGAAGCGCAATGAGCTGCGTCAGAAGGAGAACGGGGCGGTGGTGCTGCAGTCTTACGCCCGTTCCTTCATCCACCGCCAGCGGCGCAAGCGGGCGGAACGGGAGGCTTTCGACGTCTACCTAATGGGTCACAAGGATCGTATCGTGGAGGATGAGAGCCTTACCTTCCTCTTGCGGCGCCTCAACTTCTTCTACAGCATCCGGGAGGCCAAGGATAGCGAGCGACTGGTAGGGACCTTTTGGTGCTCCCTTTCTATGTACCTCTCTAATACTGTTCCCAATCCCCCATAGATCGAGGTCTGTCAGCAGATCCTTCGCCAGCCCGCTCGTCTTCTGCAGCATTCCTCCCCGGACTCTTTGTGGCTTCTGAGACTCTGCAGGCTGCTGGACACTTGCCTGCTACAGCTCAGCCTGTCGCACACGCCCCAGGCCATTCCTCTACGCATGCTGGAAACCTTTACCACCGTGTCCTCTGTCCAGCGTTATATGGAGAATGAGGCTGTGTTGTTTCAGTATCTCGAGCGCGTCTTTGGCTTCCTGATTGCTCGTAACTACTTTGTGCGACTGCGACGGCTGCTGGACGACAAGTGTCCGCCGCTGGACGGAGAGACTGTGCAAGCCCCTAGTCCGCTGGCTGAGGCCCTGCTCCAGTTGTTGCTACGTCCGCTGGAAGTGGCCAAAAGGGCTTCCGCCGGCGGCCAGATGTCTTCTATGTCGATGGCGGTTTGCCAGAACTTTATTCGGGACATCTTGGCCACGCCGCACACGGATCCTCTGCGATACTTTGTGCTACCCTGCTTTGCGCAGAATGTGGACTTCCCATTTGACTTGCTGATGCGTTCGCTCTTCAACACACTGGAGGCAGCTGGACCAGTGGAGTCGGACAGCACGTCTAGCCGACGCAGCTTTCTCTTCCACGGTGCAGAAACGGACCACAAGACTAAGCGGGTTGACTCGATTTTCTCGTCGTTTCTACTAAACTCCCTCATGATTCTCGATCGTAGGCAATTGGGTAAGTTGCTAAGAATTGCCTTATATCAATATTATCAGTAGCCATCAGTAATCGTTTATCTCTACTAGCCACCCTGCAGCAGAGCCCCCTGCTAGTGGTCTACGTCCGCCTCATTGCCGAAATGATGCCCAACATTCTGCAGCTGCCCAAGTCTACGCTTCGTTGCCATGCCAATGCCCCACATCGTCACAGGGACAGCGATGACGATTCCGAGGACTCGGATGAAGAGGATGGAGAGCTGCCATCGGTTCGTGCTCTGGACTACGATATGGAACAGACTTGTCGGACTACCGGAGAACTGAGTGTCAAAGAGCGCGACTGTCTACTGGAGTCCATTGCCATACTGAACGAAACGGAGCGGGTGGACTTTATTGTTCAGCAGCTAGATCTGCACATCGAAAACAGTCATCTCATCTATGCGCTTTGCGAGATCTGTCACAACCTGATGATATACAACAAGCATGCGGTCTTCGAGTACAAGTGAGATGTCAATGCACAATATTCCTTTGCAATATCTAATCTATTGTCCTTTCTTTTAGATTACTCTATACGTTAGCTTTTACTCCAAAATTCATTCGGGCTGTGTGGTTTAAGTTGGCTGCAGAGTCCACTCAACTAGGTTTCTCTGCTCCACTAATCCTTATCTCCAAGGGTGTTGTGCGTGAGTAACATTTAAATCCATCTGATTAGACAATTACTCATGAGAGTTTTTCACGCAGCCAAACATCAAGGAGTGGATCGCACTATTCCTCTTTTGGCTACTTTCTGCATGCTTTTTGGACGCCTGCTGCCCACTCTGCATGATGTCGAGTTCGTGGAGGACAAGTTGCTGCTGCAGGTGCAGACCACCATCAACCACGTGCGACTCATGCCCTTTTCCATAGCGGAAATTGTGCAAATGTCCAAGACGCTGAAGGACATCAGTATGGGCCTAGTGGAGCTGGCATTTCCAGAGACCCGTAGCAATCTGGCCAACTACCGCAAGGTCCTGGGTCACACGGAGGCTGACGACAAGAAGTTGCGGCATCAGAAACAAATCTGGGCCAACCTGCTCAATGTGGTCGTCTTTGTGCTCAACCAGATCCATACACGCGACCTGCGTTTAGGGTTCTGTCCGGAGGCTCACTGGACCGTCACCCGGCTCGACTTGCCACTGGATAGGCCCACAGATCTTCCGCTGACCCATAGTAGTCGTCTGCGTGGAATACGACCCTTTCAGCCGATTCGAGACTTCACTCGGGAAGACTTCGAGAACGGGCCACCCATGTCCACGAAACAGATCCGCTCGATAACCATTTTGCGCGAGATCCCCTTTGTGGTGGCCTTCAACAAGCGGGTCAGCATTCTGCAGAGCTTGGTTGCTGCGAACAAAATGCGGGTGCAGGGTAATATGCAAGCCTTTCTCCAAGGGCCATCCGTTTTGATCACTGTCAGACGGTCGCATCTTTACGAGGACGCATTCGACAAGTTGCGTCCGGAGAATGGTAGGTGTCATCTTAACGATTTTAAGTGCACCAGGTCATTAATTATTTACTTTTAGAACCGGATCTGCGCGTCAAATTCCGCATACAGTTCGTTTCCTCGCTCGGACTCGATGAGGCAGGCATCGATGGTGGTGGAGTTTTTCGGGAGTTTCTTTCGGAACTGATTAAAACTGCATTTGATCCCAACCGTGGGTTCTTTATGTGAGTATTATTGAAAAATTGAAGTCATTGGATCAATGTTCTCTACTTCCGTATTCAGGGTAACCACGGACAACAAGCTTTATCCCAATCCAAATGTAGCCGATCTCTTCGAAGACTACGAGAAGCACTACTATTTTATTGGCCGCATCCTGGGCAAGTCCATATATGAAAACCTTTTGGTCGAACTGCCATTGGCCGAGTTCTTCCTTACCAAGTTGGCTGGTAAATACGCCGATGTGGACATCCATCAGTTGGCCTCCTTGGATCCGGAGCTGTACCGCAATCTACTTTACTTGAAAGACTATTCAGGCGATGTAAGTGAATTAAACTTGGACTTCACTGTGGCAAGCAGTTCGCTGGGTCAGACGCAGATCGTGGAGCTGAAGCCTCAGGGCCAGAGTATTCCCGTGACCAACTCGAATCGCATTGAGTACCTGCAATTGATAGCTGATTACAAGCTCAACGTGCAGATACGCAGTCACTGCAACGCCTTCCGAAAGGGTCTGTCCAACGTCCTGCCCATCGAATGGCTGTACATGTTCAGCAACAAGGAGCTGCAAATACTCATCTCGGGTGCAGAGATACCCATTGACTTGGAGGATCTAAAGAAGCACTGCAAGTACGGCGGTGAATTCACTCCGGAGCACCCCTCGATTGTCGCATTCTGGGAGGTTTTGGAAGGTTTCGATGATCTGCAGCGCCGGCAGCTGCTAAAATTTGTCACCAGCTGCTCGAGGCCGCCGTTGTTGGGCTTTAAGGTTGGTATTGAATCGTATTTTAAGCCAACATGTGTTACTTACGTGGATTCCCATGACAGGACCTGGACCCACCGTTCTTTATCCAAAACACGGGAGATATGGAACGTCTGCCCACGGCCAGCACCTGCACCAATCTGCTGAAGCTTCCGCCCTTCAAAACTGTCGAGCAAATGCGCGAAAAGCTGCTCTATGCCATACAGTCTGGCGCTGGCTTCGAACTAAGCTAATCTGTCACTCCCCAGAGACCCAAAAACATATCCAATTATCACAGCCCCCACAGACGAATAAGAAACCCCATACAATCCACCCACCTGGCAGAGCAAATGGATGAGCAGAGCAGGACGGCATGTTGACAGGCAGGAAAACTATTCCAGTTAATCTATTACCAATGTACATTTGATAACCGCAATAGCTTAGTGTAAAGTATCAAGCTTATGAGGTCTGTTTATCCACGTTTTTCTTTGTAGTTCGATTCAGATTGTTTTTCGTATTACAAAATATAAATGTAAATCAATGCGACTTAAGAATATTTCAATAAAGGGCAAGCGTTGTCAGTCCGCACGTTTGATGCAACTGTTTCGTTGTCCATTGCCCATTCGTTGCATCCATTGGCTGGCTGCCTTAAAGTGCCGCCAATGCCACGTCCAGCTGCCAGGCCTGTTGAATAATGCGTTGGAAGACCACTTGGGGCGCCGAGGAGCCGAACATAAAGTCAATGTGATTATAGCCCGGCACCTGATACATCTGCGTAAT